TTTCGTAGATGAGTTCATTAGTGTGCTCTTTTTTCTTTTCTTTTCCTTTTTTGTAGATCCCACATGTGAGTGATAACATATGGTATTTCTTGGCTTACTTCACTTAGAATGACGATCTCCAGGTCCATCCACGTTGCTGTGAATGGCATTATTTTATTCTTTTTTATTGCTGAGTAGTAGTTCATTGTACAAAAATGCCACACAACTTCTTTATCCAGTCATCTGTTGATTGATGTTTATCTTGCTTCCATGTCTTGGCTATTGTATATAGTGCTGCTATGAACATTGGGGTGCGTGTATCTTTTTGGATTAGAGTTCCCTCCAAGTATATGACTAGGAGTGGGACCGCTGGATGATATGCTAAGTCTGTTTTTAGTTTTTTGAGGAATCTCCATACTGTTTTCCATAATGGCTGCACTAAATTGCATTCCCACCAACAGTGAAGGAGGGTTTCCTTTTCTCTACACCCCCTCAGTTTCTAGCAGAAAAGTGGCTTGATCAGGGCTGTACTTCAACAGGCAGTGCTGGGTAGGCTCTACTGGTGGGGAAAGAGGCCCAAATTGGAGAATCCAGTTAAAAACTTGTGGCGGTATTTCTATAGTCGCTAGAAAGGTATCCTCTGAAGGGAACCTGAAATAATTCTCTAAGTTATCCTATAGCCTGGGTGAAGAATTTCCTTTGTTCTGGACAGTTTGTTATTTCTCATGTGGTTTTCCACCTAGGAAGGGAGCACTTTGTAAAGAAGATATGAATAATCTGATCAATAGAAAGGCACAACTCTCTTTTTTAACTTAAAAATTGGAATTCTAATTTATAGACCATAAATAATACATCTACTAGTATGAATTCATTTTGGAGAGACTGAACACTCGCCTGGGCCAATAAAAAAGAAATATTTAAAATATTTTAACATTAAATTAAATACTTAAATGTAAAATATTTAAGACCGAGGCATCTGTGTGGCGTCTTAGTCAGCCATGTCCTGGCCCCCTCCCTGCCGCTCCGCTTTGGTTTTTAATTGCCATATGCCATTTCAAGGTCATTTCATCTCTGTTCTTCAGTCTCCTAATCTATATAGGAGATAGTACTTGTCTTCAAGTGTTGTTTTAAGAATCAAATTATCAGTTGAAGAAAAGACACTAGGGAAAAAAATGAAGTGTTATAAAAATTTAAAGGGATTAAAGGTCAACTTTATAAACACAAATTACTCAGCCTTATGTTCCTGATGGACTGTACCTCA